AAGGCAACGCCGCTCCCGCTGCCGCTGCAGCCGCCTCCTCCTCCTCCTCCTCCTCCTCCTCTCCTCCTCCCCGGCGGCACCTGACGCGCGGGGCTCCCGCCCGCCCCCGGCCCGTCCGGCCCCTCCCGCCGCTCCCGGTCCGAGCGCGAAGCCGCGGAGCCGCTGCCGGCCGTGCCCAGCGCAGCCCCCGGAGCATGCGAGGGCGGAGGGGGGGCTCGGACCGCGCTGCCCCCCCGGGCGGGCCGGCGGCGGGGCTGAGCGGAGGGGACAGCGGGGACGGGGGGCAGCGCGGACGGACGGCGTGAAGCGGGCGGGGGGCGACGGGCAGAGCGTCCTGCCCTCCCTCCCTCCTTCTCTCCATCTCTCCTTCCCTCCATCCCTCATCCATCCCTCCCTCCGGCCGGGGGAGCGAGGTGCGGAGCGCGTCTTGGCGGGGGCTGCCAGCCGGGGATCATGCCGGGGGAGCTGCGCCTCGGCACCGCTTTCTCCTCGCCCTCCATGGAGCCCGGACTTTCTCTACAATGACTTTCCCCGAGCTGAGCAATGGCAGCTTGAGTGGGAACCGGACGGGACAAGGCAGCCAGAGCGCTGCCAACCGGTCCTGGGGGCTGCAAGGGGAGGAGACCCCCGAGGGCAACGGCACCACGCTGACTTTCGCCTTGGACGTGCAGGCGGTGGGCGTCGGGGTTTTTCTGGCCGTCTTCATCCTCTCGGCCATCGTGGGCAACATCTTGGTCATCCTGTCGGTGGCTTGCAACCGGCACCTGCAGACGGTCACCAACTACTTCATCGTCAACCTGGCCATCGCCGACCTGCTGCTCAGCACCACCGTGCTGCCCTTCTCGGCCACCCTGGAGGTTTTGGGCTTCTGGGTGTTCGGGCGCATCTTCTGCAACATCTGGGCGGCGGTGGACGTGCTGTGCTGCTCTGCCTCCATCATGAGCCTGTGCATCATCTCCGTGGACAGGTACATCGGCGTCAAGTACTCCCTCAAGTACCCCACCATCATGACCGAGAGGAAGGCGGGGGTCATCCTCGTGGTGGTCTGGCTCTCCTCCATGGTCATCTCCATCGGGCCGCTGCTGGGCTGGAAGGAGCCGCCGCCGCCGGACGAGAGCATCTGCAGCATCACGGAGGAGCCGGGCTATGCCCTGTTCTCCTCCCTCTTCTCCTTCTACTTGCCCCTCATGGTCATCCTGGTGATGTACTTCAGGATTTACGTGGTGGCCAGGMGGACCACCCGCAGCCTGGAGGCAGGGGTCAAGAAGGAGAGGAACAAGTCCATGGAGGTGGTGCTGCGCATCCACTGCCGCAGCGTGCTGGAGGAGCCGCTCTCCAGCACCCGGGGCAAGGGCCACAACTTCCGCAGCTCCCTCTCCGTGCGGCTCCTCAAGTTCTCCCGGGAGAAAAAAGCGGCCAAGACTCTSGCCATCGTCGTGGGTGTCTTCATCCTSTGCTGGTTCCCCTTCTTCTTCATCCTGCCTTTTGGTAAGTGACCCCATCTCAGCCCCCAGTAGCTGAGCCCCTTGGGGACCTGCTCCTTGGGACAAACTTTTCAGGACACGGGTCACGAGTGGAAGTGAGGGATAGGTAACCGGTAGGTGAATAAACAGGCGATGAATTAATTCGATTAATTAACACTTATTCAATATTTATTAACCGAAGTCATATAATAAATCAAAGTAGATGGCAAATGAATAAAATAGCAGGATAATAATTGCTTTTAATTAATTCGCTCTGYGTTCAGCATTTTAACTAACGAAGTTCAGGCTAAGGAGGAAGCAGCTCTCAAACAGGCTGTTTTTTRTGTCACCAAAGGGTTTTGCTGTCTTCCCTTTCTCCCTGTCTGGGAGCTGCACCCGGATATGTCTCTGTGGGTGCAGGGCTCCCATCTCTGTCAGATATCAGTGAGGTTTTATCGCTCCAAGGAGTGCCAGAGTCCSAAGCACAAATCTCGCTGACTTCCCGGGATGCTGTCGTTGTGCAGGGACCTGGAACAGGACCAGATATTTCCCGTAAGGCTGATGGGTGRCAATTCCGTGTGATTTTCCAGGGCTGATCCACCTTCCCCACGAGCTCTGGACCTGCTGTAACGGCCCTGTGCTCGTTTGGGGCTGCCCCACGAGTTGTGCTCTAAAGTTTTGGCAAGTTGTTTGTGAAAAGGCTGCGTGCAGAGCAGGCTGAGCAGGCACAGAGCCCACCGGGGACGTGTGACAGCCAAAGCAGCGTCCCCTCCCAGCGCCAGCAGCCCGGGATGTGCAGGGGAACCGGTGCTGCTCACCCTAACATCCAGCTCKGGAGACCCGATTAACCTCTGGAATGCTGCGGAGGAACCTGGAGAGGGGGAAAAACGGGATTAAAACAACTCCTGAGTGTCAGCAGCAGCCTTGGCACAGAGCTCAGCAAAGCAGAGAGGTTCTGTCCCTCCGTGTCCCACAGCCCACGGGGGACTTTGTCCCACCCCATTTCGGCCAGGGGGGCTCTGTTACAGCCGGGGCTGCACTTTTGTTCTGGGATTTTCAAACCCTCTTGCTCGGGGCTGCTTCTCAAGTCGGTGCAAATACAGAGTGGTGGTTACGGGGCAGATTTTGACCTGCGGAGGTTCTCACTCCCCCCAGCACCGGGGCTGTCCCCSTGGGCTGTGTCCCCAGAAAATCCGCTGGGACCCCCGGGTGTCCCTGGAGCGGGGAATTGAATCGGGGCTGTGAGTGTCTGCTCTCACCGCGCTGCTCTCTGGTGCCTCTTCTCTCCGGGTTCATCCTCTGGGTGAGAGTGGAATTTGGGGAGTTTCTCTCCRCTCCCAGCGGGGGTGAAGTCAGCTTTGTGAGGCATTCTCACCCTGGGGGAGTGCTGCAGCTGATGGTGGAACTCAGACAGGGAGCAGGCAGGCTGCACTGAACTCCTCTCCCTGAWTTATCCTGTTTGGCCGTGCCTCAGTTTCCCTTTCAGTGATGGGGATATTGGGGGGAGTGCAGGGGAAGGGGTGTAACCTGCAGATAAACAGTTTGGGAGCTGTGGGGCTCAAGGAGATGCCAGCACCTCAAGGCTGCCCTGCCCCATTCTGATATTCCCCTCCTTGGCCAGGCAGGGCAGGAACCCGGTCCAAACCTCATTTGCACCTTTACACCTTAAAATCACAGAATCACAGAATGGTTTGGGATGGAAGGAACCTTAAAGATCATCTAGTTCCAACCAGTTGACAACCTTCCAGCTGATGAAGCTAAAAATCGGGATTCCTGTTTCTCTGAGTTACTCCCAGTAGTTTGAAATAGAGAAGGAACCACAGRCAAATACTTTTAATAGGAAAAAAAAAATTTTGTTTTACCGTATCTGTTCTGCCTTGAAACCCTTGAGCCAGCTTCTCTGCTGATGTAAATCAGAGAAGTCAAAGGAGGCACGCTGATTTCCACCAGCTAAAAATCCAAACTTCATTCTTTAAGTACCTCCCATGAACCCATTTGCCTCCTCCCAGCACACAACTGGCCAAGTCCTTTATAAACACRGCTTTGATCTTTGCTTCCTGCCGTGTTATATGTACAATATAAACACTGCACAAGTTCATTTATTTTATGGCTACAGAATATTCTGCTTCTGATTTCCCCACCCCTCCCTCTTTTATTAATTGCAATTTCCTATTCAAATCTGAGAATCGTTTGGAGGGGAACAGGAACTTCTTATCTTTTACAGCTCAGGAGACAGGTCCAAAACTTGCAGATATTAGTAKATTTTACTGTAAATTCACAAACTAAAACATGCTGGGGCTCATTCTCCTAGAAAAGAAGGTTGTAAGGAGTAAAGTAGAATAGATTCTWTTTATTTATTTATTAGACAAAATTAGGTGAAAGAATTTGGGACCAACTGAACATTATACTGATGCATTTTAAATGAAATTGAAACTCTTGTGAAAAACAAAATAGCTTTCAGTTGAAGAGAAATGTATTGTTTCAGCCTAAGAGTAAATGGGAATTTATTTATAAAGTGAGTATTCAGAGACATTTCAAATTGAGCCTTCGAATCRCATCAAAGTGAAATGAACAAGTGATCTATTTTCTTCTGAAAATGTCCAAATGTTTTGACTTTTTTTTTCCTCTCTTTGACATGGATTTGCAAGAAGCCTCCATTGAGTCACACTGTTGGCTGATGTCTGATTAAATTTTCAGTAAAAGTAAATTTTTCCAGTGACAAAAAACTCTCAGCTCCACTTAAAAGTCCCTCAGCACTCGGAAACTTCCGTACTCACTCTGTCTCTAAGTCTGCAACTCTCTGCAGAATAGTTCCCACATTAATTACACAGGAGTAATATTCATCACAGAAATGCTGAAAAGCTGAAATAACCCAAAATTTTAAATAACGGGAGCTATGTTTGTGCTAAATGCTGTCAGCCRTTTCTCCGTGCTCGAATAATCTGCAACAATTTTTACTTAAATCAGCTCAAATTCCCCAATACCTCCACAGTCTATTTATCAGATGAGTAATTTAACTCCCTCTTGGATGTGTGATCACAGTCCCTGAGCAGGAGTTTAAATACAATTAAAAGCTTCTGTGGCTAACGAGGGTCTTCAAGCAGCGGATTTTTCAACTAGAGATGAAATCCTAGTTTGTAGCTCGTGTTTAGGTTGTGTCTTTGCCAGATGTGCAGTGGAGCTCTCCCAGGCTGCTGTCTGGGGATGTTGGGACATGGTTTTGGGGTTTGTGGCATGGTTCCTCTTCCCTGAGCAAGCATCTATCAAGAGAACATAGCTGGAGATTTTCCAGAGATGTAGGGCCAGGAGTTTGCAGCACAGGGCTCATCTCTTTTTGGTTGTCTCAGGCCATGGGGATGATCAAAGAACCGGAGCCCCTCTGYTCTGGAGCCAGGCTGGGAGAGCTGGGGGTGCTCATCTGGAGAAGGGAAGGACACAKGGAGAGMYCAGAGCCCCTTGCAGGGCCTAAATGARCCTCATAAAAAGGAGGAAGAAYGACTTCTTACATGGGCAGAAATGRTAGGACAAGGRGCAATGTTTTTAARCTGMCAGAGGRCAGGGKT